GGCACGCTCGACCGGAACTCGCTTACGCCGCATGCGTCCGCCGGAAGTAGAGCCACGTCGCAAGTAGCGTCACTTTGGACGCGTGGCGTGATTTCGCGGTCCGTTCTGGAAAGATCCGCTAATCGTGGATTGTTTTATTGCACGGTCGATGTCACAAAATCACACTGCGCCGAGTATATGCGATGTTTCGATACTTCAACACGGTGTTCGCGACTCGCCGTTGTAGTTCGTCACTAAATGCGGGTCCGATCGGGTCTCTTGTCGCGGCACCTTAGCTCGAATGTTCGATGTCCGCACCGCGCTTCGACACTCGTTTTCAAGAACAACATGAACGGATTCGGCTATCGCGTTCGTGTTCTTTCGCGTTCCCGACCCGCGGCATTCTTCTCGGAGAGTTCAGCGGTCCGAAGAAGGAATTACGTTCGTAATTACTTATCAGTCGAACGAAGTCGTCGCGTACGTATACTCAGATCCGAGGTCGAAACGATTAAGAAGAAGGACTTCCGAAGGGTTGTCATACATATAATGCTTTCTCCGCGTTGCATCCTCGCTACTGACGCATTATCCAATCGCGACCCGCGCGTCCCTCAAATATCGATTGGCTATCGAACGCGTTAATCGGAGGGATCTCTTCATGGTCCGTGCTGGATCGTGTATTTCGGCTGGTGTTGCTTGCGCAGCACCGCCGAAGTATTGCTCGCGCTCGCTCACATTGCCTGTGACGCGATGCGTTCTGTCACGTGTGAGCGATATACGATACGCTCCAGTAACTCTGCGAAAAATCATCGTATGATGATGAACTTTTTTGCAAATATATCATAGGAAGGTTGGCGATCGGATTTTACATGTTGTGTGCATGCGGGCGTGTGTAAAACATACACACACGCACACACAGTGTTCAAAATCCGAACGCCAACCTCGCTATGGTGCACATCGGGTAATGCCGACCATACATGAGAAAAATACAAGGGTTACTTTAAAATGCTGCAACTTTGTGAAAAAAAATCGTAGCTACTTGTTTTTTTCAAATTAAAAAAAAAGGTTCAAACTTTATGACGCTGCAAACCGCATCCCTGAGAAAAATTTTAGTAAGTCCGTGCATTCTGTCAAACTTTGCAATTTTCAATATGGCAAACATGCTTTCAGATTTAACAGTTTACAGTAGCACGGATGCATTAAATTTAAAATTGACCCTTAATAGTACCTTAAAGTAGATTTCAAGCTTTCATTTGAAAAAAAGTTCATCATCCTACAATGATTTTTCGCGGAGTTACCGTTAGCTAAAATTGACCAATTTTTGCCTAAAATTTTTTTATGCCATAATTTTTTTTAGTAGTGTATATACTAAATATAAAAAAGGATACCATTATCTCAGATTATCTCAGAAAGATGATGTTTATACGGACAAAATTTTTCATACAAAGGTTATATGTACAAAGTTATCCATTATGTGATGTTTTGTCCATCATCGGCTGTAAAAATTTACAATAAATAATAGGGATTTCTATTTAAAAAACTCAAGGTGACCTTTTGATATGACATTCCCAAAATCATTCAAAGTTAAACCAATATTACCACATGATGGATATAACTTGGTATCTCGCCTGTATTATACTACATATATACTACTAATTTTAACTTTTGTATAAAAAATTTTTTCAGTAAACGTTATCTTTTCGAGATAATCCAGTGTCACGGCCTTTTTGTTACATAATATATTTGTTATATGATATTGTATATTATAGATACATAAATTATATACAATATATTATAGATACATAAATACATATATTATAGATTAATTTTAAAATCGTGCTGAAGCAATATCAACGCGGCGCGATAAATTGTAAGAACGAAATCAATTTTAGAAAGAAGAATTCTTACTAAAACCTTGTTACTAGTTGCAACATACTCGAATTGCGTAGCAACGAATTACCGATTTACGTCTTGACTATACAAATACTTGGAGGCTAAAGTGGCTGGCGACCGTGTAAGTACCTATAGATTTGAAATTTTTTAAATTACTTTCTAGCCGAATTCGCAAAGTTGCTTAACTCTTGAATGGGTTAAACAAAACTTGCCCTTGAAAGGGGTTAGCAAAACTTAATTAACCCTTGAACGGTGTAAGCAAAATATGCTGACTCCTTGAAAAGAGTATGCAAAACTTGCACATCCTTAAATGGGATATGCAAAACTATTTCTTTTAACATTCAATTATGTAGAATTTATTAATACTATTTAATATAACAAAATATTTAACAATAATCAAACATTTACTTAAAAATCTTACTATTTTATATAAGTGCCGATGAACGTATTCAATCATACACTTGAGGCGTGAGACTTTATATCCGCCATTTTCTATCCAACTAGAACCTATGCTAGTCTCTTATTATATTTTATTGTCTTCAGGATAGGCAAAGTTTGCTTGGTCCACTCAAGGGGTAGGCAAAGTTAGCTTGGTCCATTCAAGGGGTAGGCAAAGTTTGTTTGACCCATTCAAAGGATAGGCAAACTTCGTATGATTAATTCAAGGAATAAGCAGGGTTTACTTGGCCCGTTCAAGAGGTAGGCGAAGCTTGCTTGGCCCATTCAAGGGGTAAACAAAGTTTGCTTGGCCCATTCAAGGGTTAAGTAGAGTTTGTTTGGCCCAATTAAAGGGTAGTCAAAGTATACTTATGAGGGACCCTCACAAAGTGCACAATAACTACAGCATAGAGAAAATTATCCAAGCATCTTGGCACCCTTTGGATCACTTTCCACCCAACAACTAAACCGGAAATAAAATAAATATAAATAATAAAATAAATTTTGTTTTAATTTTTCGATAAATTATCAAGTATCTTGACTCTCTTTGAATTACTTTCCACCCAAAAACTAGACCGGAAATAAAATGAATATAAATAATAAAATAAATTTTTTTAAATAAGTTTTCCCTACGACAAGCATCGAAAAATAAAAAAAAATTTATATTATTATTTATATTTATTTTATTTCCGGTCTAGTTTTTGGGTGGGAAGTGATCCAAAGGGAGTCAAGATACTTGGATAATTTTCTCTATGCTGTAGCTA